CACGTACCTTCTCACGCATTTCCACCACTGTCTATGATTTCCACACGTACCATCTCCTCCGACGTCTTCTCTCATTTCTGCCTTTCAGTTTTAGTAATTTCACTAAAGTGAACTGTTTTTCCACCTCAATAAGCTCCAACTCCAACATGATCCACTCTCTTTCAGTCGATATTGCTTGTAGTAACCTAGCCGTGAGGAATCTAAACACAGTGGAACATTAAAACTCTCCGCCGCCAACTAGCGTTTCGGAGCAGTACTGCAGAGCAACAAGACCTGAACGCAGAAGTATAAATGCTCATAACGGCGTCGCCTACGTGCGTAGCCAACGCCGCACATTACGGCGTACCCTCGACGCAGAAGTATAAATTGGCCTTTAGCGCGTGCACAACAACACAGCAGCATGTCAGCCTCCGGATCAGATCAAGATTTAGTTCCTAAAAAGGGCGCTACTTCAATAGTATGGAAGTTGTTTGAGTACAAGAGGTCAGATCTCCAACAACACAATTATTATTTTTTTTTTTTTGTCAAATATGCATGAAAACTCGTTTCACCACTTCCCTACTAGCGTACATTTTGCATTCGCCTAATCTTCCTTCAGAGTTTCCGCAGTTCGGGTACAACAGTCAACACGATTAAACTCTTTCTAAGATGATTCAATGTTACTATTTGTAATATTTGTAAATAAAAGTTCTATGCTTTCGCATAAAACAACTTTATCTTGCTGGACTTTATTGCTGTAACGTTAACTAAATCATCATGTTACTTTCTACCGGCCGGGTCAGGTGTCTGTTAGAGCAAAACACTAGAGTCAGAGTACTATTGTTCATCACGCCCACAGTAACTGAAATGTAAAACTGTTAAAAGAAAGGACTCGATAAACGATTGCATAGGTAGATGCTGTATATTATACACGACGCTACGCATCAATATTTATTTACTTTGTGCTTTGAACTGTTCAGTGCGGAGTATTCGACGCGCTGCGCGTGCGCGCTGTGACTCCGTGTTGCTTCAAGCGTATCATTCAGCGCTCGGGATGCGCATAAGCGCTGTGCGATATATTGGAGCCTTTCATATCATAATACTTTGCGCAATTAAAGGTTATTAATAGCCTTTGTTCTGTCCTATCGATCATATGTTGCTGCCTCATTAAACAGCTGTGCTATTCATTTTAAACATGCCTCAATTTTATAGTAGACTAGGCTATATAATAATTAATCCTTTTGATTTGTTACCTTGTTTTTTTTTCATGAATGTACAATACAAAGAGCAATGTGTAAAGTTTTACCAGATTTAGTGTTACAATTGTCTCTTATTTATTCCCCACTAAATGTTTTTTTTCTCCCTAAATGTTCCGATTTTATACAATTATTGTATAAATTAGGTATTGTATACCTCATTTGATGCTAATCCAAAAACTATGCAAGGCAACTGTTACATTTTGAAGGTTTGTTTGGATTGCCGCTGTTTGTTTAAATTTTTTGTACTTCAAAGTTTAGGTAAATTTTATTAGGTGACAATATTGTGCAGGCTTCTGAAGTTATTGTTAATATTGTTAATGTATTACTGTAGTTATTGTTAAAATAAAATGATAAGGAGTTATGTTATACTTTTTTTGCACTAATGCTGCTGCCAGCCAGCTGCAATCACCAATAAAACATTGTTTCATTTATATTTTTTCTATATCGTGATAAATATCATTATCGCAAATATTCTTGAAATATCGTGATATAATTTTTAGGCTATATCGCCCACCCCTAATGGTCACCACCTCAAAGAGCATGCACAGAGAAGTCCAAATTAAACATGATTTAATGACTTCTAAATGTAAGTACACATTGATGGCCTAAGACACGAAACGAGCAGTTTGTGTGAGAAAACGAACAGTATTTATATAGTTTTTACCTCTTGTAACCACAGCCACGTCCAAGTGATCTGAGGACGCGGGCGCTTCGGTCTGCGGAAGTGCCGGAAGAGCTCGAAGTGATCTAAATATGGTTGTGGGAAAAATTCAACGTTGTCTGTTGATGTATCGAAATCGTATTCCATTGCAATTTCATGTACATCTAAATATGTTTAGATCTTCACAGTGAAGGATAACACTTCCGAAATCTCTGTTTAAATAATGAGTGACGTACAAGTTACAAGGTTACAAGAGGTAAAAACGATATAAATACTGTCTTAGGCCATCAATGTGTACTTACATTTACGAGTCATTAAGTCATGTTTAATTTGGATTTCTCTGTGCATGCTCTTCGAGGTGGTGACCATAGACCTCTATTATATGACTGACAGACACGAACTGTTTGACCTAAAAATATCAAAATAGAAACTACTGCGGAAACAAAGACACCTACATCTTGGATGCCCGTGAGGTAAGCTAAAACATATCAAAAAATAATTTCAAAGTGAACTATCCCTTTAAGACAATTGTTTTCTCTCTTCTTCTCCGAATACAACCCGCTTTATGCAATCAGGCCAGTGTTTGTTCCAGCCGCTCACTAAAGGAAGCGTTTCATACTTTTATCTTATCATGTCCGATCAATAGTGTGACTGTCCCGTCAGAGTGGCACTCACTTTCATGCTAGTATGTAACTGCTGTTTAAAGGAGAAAGGATTTGATCAGGAGACAAAACAAGTTTGAAAGAGTAACTGTGTCTGGGATCAGTTACTCATTATTGACAGATCATTTATAATAGTGGGCATAGGTATAATAATAATTACTGAACTAACTGATTACCTTTGAAAAATAGAGATTTTTTTAAGTGTAGCTATTCCTCTAACAATACTTATTTGATTAAAATATGCAGAATATACAGGATAATAATAAAAGTACTATTAGTAATATTTTAATATATGACAGGTTTAAGGTTGGTATGTAAGATTAATTGTAGGCAGTTTGGTATGTAAGCAATTATTAAATAAAACAACAATGACAATAAAGACATGTAAAAGATTTCCATTTTGAAGAAATATAATTTACTTTTGAACTTTATTTTCCTTCATAATTCCATAAATCATAATTTCCACAAAAATATTAAGCAGCAGCAGAACAGTTTGACACTGATAATAATAATAAATGTTTATTGAGCAGTATTTCTGAAGGATAAGAAAAAAGACTGGAATAATGATGCTGAAAAACTCAGATTTCTGATTAATTTAGAAATGAATTACATTAAACTGTAATAATATTTTTTAAAATGTTATTGTTTCCTGAATATGTGATAATAAACAAACCGCAGCCTTGAGCTAGAGACTTTTTTTCAAAAATATTAAAAAAAGAAAACCTTACAAACCCGAAACTTTTGAATGGAAGCATATAGTATATCATTTAATTGCTATATTATATAACTATAATATAATAAATAATATTATTTATATAATATTTAATTGTTATTCTGGTAACACTTTACAATAAGGTTCATTAGTTAACATTAGTTCACTACATTAGTTAACATGTACAATATGTTAACAATACTTCTTCAGCATTTATTAATCTTTATTAATCTAATACGTTATTAAAATCAAAGGTTGTATTAGTTAACATTAGTTAATGGACTGTGAACTAACATGAACGCACAATGAACAGCTGTATTTGTATTAACTAACATTAAAAAAGATTAATAAACACTGTAACTAATGCATTGCTCATCGTTAGTTCATGTTAGTTAATGCATTTACTAATGTTAACTAATGAACCTTATTGTAAAGTGTTACCGTTATTCTTACAGTTTTAAGATTTTTACATCTTTACATTGTAAGCATATGGAAGAGGTTTTAGCCAAACTTACAGTGTGTTTAGATGACTATAGCAATACAAAGTCACGGGTTCAATTTACAAGGAATGCATGAGCTAATAAATTATAACTTGTGTCATTATGTGTCATTGCCAGGAAACTGAACCCATGACTTCGGCGTTGATATAGCTATGGTCACATCCTTTAGTTTTTTGCCTGTCGGCCACTTCACCACAACAACATTTATGTCTATAACTACGGCATAAGATTTATACCAAAGTTAAATACTTAGGGGTTAAATTCATTGGCCAAGAACAAAGATTTTATGGGTATTTATCCCCTTATTTTACACAATCAGTATGCTATACTGAGGATGACTCATCAGAGGGTCTACAATGCTCATGGTTTTCCCACTTGACAATGGAGAAATGTTAATAGTAATACTTGCCTTGGCAAGCACCACTAATCATTGCTTTGCTCCTGATAATCAATGATTAATGAACGTTAACTACAGATTGATAAAGAGTTAAAGCTGAAGTGTGCGATTTCTCCACCACTAGCATTACTGAATGTAATTGCAAAAATGATGATTTTTCAAACATTTACCTAAAACATGCCACTGCCGTTGGTCAAGCAACAAGTACAAATGTCTAGTTGTATTTGTAAATCAAGCTGAAATAGACAATAGGTCAATATGTTCAAAATTAAGCCTCTAATTACACATATATATATATATATATAATAACCACTGGCATGCTGGCTATCAGGCCAGACTGAGATGTGACCCGCTGTCATTTTTTTCATGCCCCTGAGCGCTTCCATTTGAGTTTCCACACCATTCACGTTTCACCGTCTCCTCCGTTGCCATGGTAATCTGCCGTCACTACACTTGTGTGCGCGTCACATGACACGCAGACGCACTCTATCTCTTTGACTGATGGGTCTATAATTAAACTCACGTGTGACCAGAGCCATTAACACACTGGAATACCCTCGCTGTGGACTCAAATCTGTTCTAAAGGCGGACAACCGTCGTTTCATAAATAAGGCCCCTCCAGAGGGTTGATTGTGTGTGTTTGTTTCAGTTTGCATGCATGCATGTCTCTTGTCTATGAAGTACTGCGTAGGTTACTCATTCCTTATGTAATCATTCCCGACCATCCGGGTGATAGGATCGGAATGCTGGGAAGTTTTATAAGTGAGAATGAGAGAGAGCCGGAGAGAGAAAAGTCTAGAGAAAAAGAGAAGCATTTAGGGAAACCTCACCTCAAGGTCATCGAGTGAGCGAGCCATACTGAGACGCTTGGAACGTCCAAAAGATCGTCTGCCAGAGGAACGCTGAGGAAAGCCCATGCCTTTGAACCTTCCACCCTGTTAGAAACAGAGAGAAAGACATTAGTAATATAGACAACATTTCTACAATGCAATTGTCCTCATTATACAATTCATATTGCGATGCATACGACAAGATTTACTGTTACAATGCATCATGATGTTATAATTGGAACGCAACTGAATTTCCATTAGATACGAGAGAGAGAATATTTAGTTTGGGGTCAACAAGATTTTTTTTTTTAGAAATTAATACATTTATTCAGCAAGGATTAAATGTTAACATTAAATTGATCAAAAGTGACAGGAAGTCTGTTACATTATTACAAAAATGCATTTTAAATAAATGCTGTTCTTTTAAACTTTCTATTCATCAAAGAATCCTGGAAAAAAATGTATCAGGGTTTCTACAAAATGATTAAGCAGCACAACAGTCAATGATAATAAATGTTTCTGGAGCTCCAAATCAGCATATTAGCATGACTCCTGAAGGATATATATATATATATATATATATATAAAATAACAATTACCATACAAATATTTCTTGTCATCATTATGTGTATTTCCCACTGAGGTTTTTAATTTGGTAACACTTTATTTTGATATTAACCCTTTTGAACATCCTGTTGACTATAAGTATCTTTGCAACTACATATCAACTTATTCTATCCCTAACCCTACCAGTCTACTAATACTCTACTAACACTCTAGTGAGAGTTAGTAGAGATGTTGGTGCAATGTTACCTATAGTCAACTGAATGTCGTAATGGGACCATCCAAATAAAGTGAAACCTTTCATTTAAATGTGATGTTTGTGCCACTATCATCACCACACAGTATTGCTATAAAATATCACGATTTCTATAACTTTTTAGAGAAAATTTAAGTAATTCTCACATGTGTTAAACTGTTTTACAGTGTGGTTTGTTTTTCAATATAAAAGTGCAATCAAAATTTCAATTTCAGTGAGAATTAAAGAGCAAAAAGGGTCATTTGTCTATTTATCAATAATATAGTGACATTTGAAGCAGTTTTGTTTTGGTCAATGCAGCGAAGTCATTTGTGTGACCAACTTAAACTTGTAATCTTCAAGGTGACATCTTTTGCCCTTGTGCAAAATGTTTTATACCGTGCAATGCATTCCTACTAAAATTACTGAATTTTGCCGAAGAAAATGAGCCAAACAACGGAAAGTGTGATTGCTCCTTAAAAGCATCTCCCATCTTCTTACAATTCTATTTTAATTTACAATCCCTCATGTCATTCCAAACCTGACTTCCTTTATTCTTTAAAAAATACGGACACAAAACACGAGGGTGAGTAAATTATGAAAGAATTTTCTTTATTGGGTGACCTATCCCTTTAAGTACTTGAGTTTTGCTAATTTTATTAAGTAACTACAAGGTGCAAAGCCTCATAGGAACAGTATTTACACATTATCAACACATTTAACTGGTATAAAATATTTTAAAACATTAAAAAATACAAACATCAGCATTAACCATAATCATTTCTTAATGACGTGTCACAATGTTTTGTGTTCAAAGACAGCCCAAAAGCATCACCAGACAGAGAAACAGAAGGACGAATGTACAAAGATGGGCAAACTATTTGTCGAGCGGTCAGACAGAGAGGAATCATTTTCATAGGCTAAAGTTTAGAGACTGATTGTGCAGATGACAAGAGCAGCATAATCAAATAGTCTGCTGTGTTGCCTAGAAACACTGAGAACTCTGTATTCAAGATCATCATTATGACACATTAAGTGCAAACAAACATATGCACACACGCACAAATATGCCAACAAGTGCCTGCATTCGCATGAGGGTCAGTGAAGTACATACTTAAGCTAGATATGCATATATGTTTCCACATTTAAAGGGATAGTTCCCAACATGTTTGACTTTCTTTCTCCTGTGAAACAAAGGAAGATATTTTTTAAGAAGGGTGTAAATCAAACAGTTTTGGTGACCACTGACTTTCAATTTGGGAAATTTTACGTTTTCCTCAAAATATTTTCTTTTATGTTCCCCAGAAAAAAGAAAGACATACAAGTATGGAATGACTGCAAGTACACAATGACAGAGTTAAAAATGTTGGTGAACTATCCCTTTAAGGCTAACAAGAAGAGACATTTACATAATATTTTCTCTCTATCACAAGCATGCAAAGACACCGTGATCACACACGCTCACATAACGCACTTACCATAACAGGAAACCTTAGAGAATTAGGAGAGGACATATGATCAGTGCAATCTAAACATATGAAACACAGGGCCTAAAGGATATGTCAGTTAATGTGAAGCATGTAATTATGAACTTAAGTCACTATATGACAAAATTGGCAATTCTTGTTTTTTTTTTTTTTTTTTTTTTTTTTATTTAATGGAACATTGCTGTGCGTTTTATAAATGATTTTTCTGTGCACATATTTTTTTTTGATTTTTAATCAAAATAACTTCCCTTTTGTCTTGCAGCAACCTTTATATGATAATGAGTTTACTGGTGAGAGGGCGGGACAACCTGTCACTCACATGACATCACAGCAATAACAAGCCACAACCATCCAATGAAATAAAAAATCCTGCCATACATTTTTAGGTCAAGAAGATGTTTCACTCAAATGCACGTCACAATGTTGAAGAAAAGACTTGCAACTTCCGTTTCATGCCGACTTTAAAGAGTAACTAGACTCTAAACCAACTTTTTTTAGTTAATAATATATAAGAATGGATTTTTTTGACATTTGTGTATAAAGTGTTTTATTTCTACAATATATGGTGTAAAAACGTCTTAGTGCTGCCCTCTTCAGGTTGAACGGTGGCTACTGCAGTTAAATTTTCCTATTGGATGTTCTGTGACGTACGCAGGTTTCAGCTCACCACGCTCTTGGTACGAGCGGCAGTATAAAAACCAGCTTGTTTTGTCAAAACCACTGTAGCGAGTCAGGAGTTGGAATTGCGAGTATTGAAAACAATCAGGATAGTGTTTTAGCATCTATTTCGTCGACCTATATCTCCGCTGAGGTGGAGTCAGGCTCTGACCAGGGGTTTAGTACCCTTTAAAGTAGAGGAAAAACTCTAAAATTCAAAGGAAGCAGAAAGACTACTCTTGTAGTCCAGCAAATGTTCTTACATTCTGCATCCCATATTGGGTTTGATTAAAAACACCATCAGTCATGTAACAGAGGAATAGGGGAGCCAGACACAAGTGGCTGACTCTTCATCACCCCAACGTTTCCATGGCCATTGAGCAGCAACTAATCTAAAGGAAATATTGTGGACTAAACTACGCTCCTTGGATGAATCGTTCAGGCGGTTGCCGAAAAGCATAAGCATAAAGCTGTCAACATGGGTTTAGAACAAAACGTTAAATGTTCCAGATGTTAACGGGAGCTGCTCTTTTTTTTTTTTTTTTTTTTTTTTTTATGTAGAACTTGGGAGTTGAATCCTAGGAGGAAAACAATTTCCTTGTATATTTATATACTTCAAAGACTAATAAAGAGGGAAAAAAAGCATGAGGCTGAGGCTCAGATGACTATGCTTACATCGGCACAGCCTAAAGCTCTTTTTCCAGTTGCCAAAGAGTGAATGGTATACAAGCTGAAAAGTCTCAGAGCACCACATTCGGCCCTCTTTTTTGAATTCAGTACATATCAGTTCAGTTCACAGATTTATATATTCTATAACTGTGCTATTTGTACTTTCTTTCTCAATCTCTCTCCCCTCTTAAAGGAGTAGTTCACTTTAAAAAAACAAACTTTTGCTGATAATTTACTCACCCCCATGTCATCCAAGATATCCATGTCATTCTTTCTTCAGTCGAAAAGAAATTAAGGTTTTTGATGAAAACATTCCAGGATTTTTCTCTATATAATGGACTTCAATGGGAACCAAATGATTCAAGGTCCAAATGAGAGTTTCAGTGCAAACTGTTCAAAGGGCTTAAAACGATTCCAGACGATGAATAAGGGCCTTATCAAGCGAAACGATTGCTCTTTTGTTTAAGTTTTAGAAGCTCGCATGCTCACCTTGCTCTGTTCTGTGATGTGCGTTCGTGACTCTCCTGTTCAAACTCGTTTATCAAAATGAACGAATCTTTTTTCGTGTCATTTGGTTAATTCAACAAATGAAATGAAAGAATTGACTCAGAAAAAGAATCCTTCATTTTGATGAACGAGTTTGAACAGGAGAGTCACGAACGGGCATCACAGAACAGAGCAAGGCGACCATTTGAGCTTATAAAACTTAAACTTGGTTATTTTCTTTTAATGAGCGATTGTTTCGCTTGATCAGACCCTTATTCGTCATCTGGAATCATTTAAAACCCTTTGAACAGTTTGCACTGAAACTGTCTTTTGGACCTTGAACCGTTTGGTTCCCAATAAAGTCCATTATATGGAGAAAAATCCAGTAATGTTTTCATCAAAAACCTTAATTTCTTTTCGACTGAAGAAAGAAAGACATGGACATCTTGGATGACATGGGGGTGAGTAAATTATCAGCAAAAGTTTTTTTTTAAAGTGAACTACTCCTTTAAGGTGCAGTTGTGTCAGTCTCATGGTTGAGATAACATCATGGATTCCTGTGGGGAGTAGGGACGTACAGTGAGCTGCATAGACTTATCAGGGAGGAGCTATCTTTGAGGAGCTCTGAGGAGCTATCTTTCCTGTTTACTTCATCCATGAGGAGGGGATGACAAAACATACCAAGAAATGTTACTAAAAAACATCATCTAGGCCTATCTGTTAATCGGTTTCGTAACCATGTCAAAACTATCCCGCTCTGTAGGACTGTGAAGCAAAGCTTTCACGGTCAGATTACAATCCAGACACTGCAAGAGTATTCATATAATCAAAACCACAACCAGCTCAATCTTTTATGATAAAACAACACTCCACAAGGACGTTTAAGTATTAAGGCCCAGTCACAACGGTAACTATTAGCGGATGATATAGACAGAGCATGTTCTGATTATTATAAGTTTGCAGTGCAGTTTTGTCGTCTGCCACTTTAAAAGCTCTATAGTTCTTAAAGCAGAATGGATAATGATTGGCATGAGATTCTGATTTCGATTGGATTTTCTTTGCTATTGTTTTACAGACTTATGGTTATCGTGCTTGGTAACTGGCCTTTAGAGTCTATTTTCGGTCATGATTCAGAAGAAAGTGTGTTCTTTGACAATTTTTCTGTACCGCTCTCCTCAAGTCTTGACTTGACTTGACAAGTGGAATTCACCACACTCACAATTGTTCTGCACATGCTCAGTACTCATTGAAGGTGGGTAGTTTACAAATACTATGTACATGAAAGTGAACATTTCTTATGGTACATACAGTGGGCCCATTTTTGTAATGACTTTTAGCCAAATGGTGTCAAGGTGATTTTTAATGTATGTTGTATTCACTATGTTATCCATATAGACAAGAAGGTGTCTCAACATTTTTTTCATTACCTTGACGTTTTAACAAATAGATTTTATAATAATATGAAACCAAACGATGCTTGTGCAAAAAAAAGAAAATATGTCTACTTTATATAGAAAATAAATAAACATTAAAATAGAATAACAGCCAACTTATACAACAAAATACTTTGCTATTTTGTTTTATAACCTATAGATCAGTATACCACATTTAAACCACTGAATAATCATTTGGAAATAAATATATGCATTTAGGAGTCAAAATAGATGAAGGAGAAGAATCATCATATTGTTCTGCAACAACATTGGACCTTTAATTGGCACAGAGGAACAGTGCCACCTGTTGGCCAATAGGAGATCAACTCATGACCTTGTGTGGAGGCCAAGCAAGTGTTTTGAATATCTCTTTCATAATGTCACAAAACAGACAAGAAAGTTTAAACTAAAATATTGAAAGGAACCACTGTGACTAGATCCCTACACTCTAACTAAAATTTGTAAAACATTTAATATTCCAAAATATTATTGATTTGTGTTGTATTGTTTTCATGTTATTACTGTGAAGCAGCTTTGATACAATCTCTATTGTAAAAAGCGCTATATAAAATAAAGGTGATTTGACTTGACTTAAAAACAATATGAAGGAATCGATATTCCTTCATTTATATCAAGGAATGAATATGAAGGAATTTTTTTCACTATTGATTTTTCCAAATATTTTTAATTACATATTTCAATGCGTTGTGTTTTAACATGCTGTAACAATTATGCATGTAATTAACACACAGTCTCATGAAAAAGCGTATCTACACCACGAATGTCATTTCTCGTGGCATTTATACGGCAAAAACGTTTTTTTGCGTGCATATGCTACGCACTAAAAAACGCCTGGGGTAGGTGTAGGGGGGGCGGGGCCGGGGAGTTCGTGCGTATTATACGCCATAAAGTGTGTATCATATGCACTCGAAAAACGCGTACCATATACACGCAAAAACTGTTTTTGGCGTATAAATGACACGAGAAATGACATTTGTGCAATAGATACGAACTTTCATGAGATCGGGCTCCTCATTAATTGAGAGACTACATGAAATATTTGAAATTTTAATTATTCATCTGTCACACTATTTCAAATTAATTAGTGTAGGCAAAGAATGGGGGGATTCAAATTGTGAAAAAAATTAGAGAAAACTTAAAAAGACATGCTACAGCATCAAAATCTAAAATGCTGATATCCACATTATGTGTGTATCGAGAATGAAACAAGCAGAGAATGAACTGAAATGCAATGAACACATTGACGCCTGACAAGTCTTATTCTGTATTCAGTAGACCCTGAAGCTTGTCAAAGCACAGATAATGATGCATCTAACAGTGCTATTCAGGGAAATCCAATCAATGCAGTCTGTTTTGTTGCTTTGGACCTGTGAACATTTTCATCTGTAGAACACATAAGAGTCATAAGAAATACTTGTAATGGCAATTTACTGGAGCTTGGCCTTTATCTGGTTTCATTTGATAGAAAACAGTACATCAATACTCTACTAAACGTTTTGAAACTACATGAATTGATGATGACAGAATTTTTCTATTCAGATCAGTTTCAGTGGTTTGACATCTAGCACCCAGATTCAAGACTTCAATATGAGTGATCTGCTGTCAGCTAATAGAGGCCCATCAGTGGCAGTCAGAGCAGAGAGAGCTCACAGCCATTTGAACTGAAAATTTTCCATTGGGAGAATGATACATACCCAGCTTTGTATCTCAATCTTCTCATCTCAGGGTCAGTTTTAACATGTTCCCTCCAAGCAAGGAGCCACAGCTGAAGCAGCAAATGGGAATGAGGTATTTTCCGCCTGGCTATGCATGTCACCTATCTGACAGAATTCTTTTTGACATTAAAGTGTCTGTGCAGTTTTATTGAGAGACAATGCAAATCTATAAATGCGACCACACATTTTAAAGTAACATAATTGAGAGTGTCAGTTGGAGTTAAAGTTTTGTGTGTGTTGGAAAGGATAAAATTCCTAGCGCAATTGAAAACAGCAAAGTAAAGAATCATGCCGTGCCTGATAATAAGAACGAGGGGGAAAGTGCTATCCATTCCAGGCACATAAGTTTACATCTGCAAGCTTTTTTCATTTTCTTTTCACAAACAACAGTGGTTTGAATAACACATTCCCTGGCTCATTAACCAGTGTACTGCACTTGTTGTATCAAATTTAAAACCATTACTTAATAATTGAATGCACTGCAATTTGAGGTCAGATCCTCTGAAATCAAGCATCCTTACTGATTGTGACCCCAAACAAGTATTTCACAAATGTGACATTTGATGTTTAAAAAAAAAAAATCTCTTACTTTTTTCTCTGAATCTTTCGTCTTTTTGCCATCGTTCAGCTTCTCTCGTAGGTTCTTCTCCCCAAACAGCTTTTTAGCCCACTCGTCCTTCTGTGCATGGAGCCGGTGAGGCTGTGAGGCGATCTCGCCTGCAGCACGGTACCGGTCGGCTGGAATCTTACTCATGGGTGGTGGCAGGGTGCTACAGTTAGCACTGGACCATCCGTCTGTAGACTCTGCATAAGACTCCTGATCACTGCTGTGTCCTTGACGCCAATCTCTCAGGACGTGAACTGGCAGCCAACGTTGGCCTGATGCCCCCGTCACCTTTTTGCCATGGGCGGAATAGTGGGAGCGCGTAGAAAGGCCTGACACATCCAGCCGTGAGGAGGAGTTCAGATGCCTGCCAGAAAGCAGAGGTGGGTCCGCTTGGGAATGTGGATGAGGCTGAGGGTGATCTACGAACTGGTCAGGGCGGTAGCCATTGCGATGCGAGATTGGTGGTGGCGGTGGTGGTGGAAGACCTCCTAGGACACTTTGGCTACGAGATCCTGGAGGGTTTTCCCATAGTCCTGTGGGAACATGCCGACCAGGGTTTGCACCCAAGTCAACCAAGAGGACTCGGTTGCTTTTCTCCTCCGGCAAGAAGTTGCCAATTCCACTGTCACTGTTGCTGCTCGTGCTGTTGTTCTGCTGAGCATCTAGGTCTCCATCGAGGAACGCTCGAGCTCGCATACCCTCGATAGATTCTCCCATATCGCGGTAGAGCACGGACACAAACTGTAGAAGGGGCTGGGAAGTCGGTGGGAATTCCAAGCAACCACTTGTATCTGGGTCTGGAGTGCATTCGAAGCCAAAGCGTCGAGCAACACCTTGGTGGATCTTATGATGACAGAGTTCCGGGTCTACAATAAAGACGTGACAAGAGGTACGCAACCCTTGCTCCTCCTCACCGTGTCTATGTACGCCGTGGTCGTTTGTGGCCTGCATGGTGACGAGGCCAAAGAAGCGGCGGTCGTCTGGACACACTGCACTGAAAGCTAACTTCTCTGCAGGGTAAGTGGCAAGAACAGCGCCTCGGTCGTTGCATAGCTGTACACAATCATGCATGACTTTGAGCAGGACCAACGAGTGCACTTTTTGTTCGGCACGTAGACGTCGCATACAGCCACGAATTGCCTGAAGGCTGTCACTTTCCAGATTAGCACTTGTAGAAGCTAATTCAATGGATCCCAGGTAACCTACAATCATCCCAACGTTGAGGATTCCCGCAGAGTCTGCAGTTTGCAAGAGGGGAAATTCATCTTGCTGTTCAAACATATCAATGAACACAGAGTCATCATTGAGCACTTTGGCCATCTCCTCTTCAGTGAGCAAGCTGGGATCACTCTGCCGGGTGCCAGCGTTACAGTAAGAAAAGTCTGGCTCTGAGAGAGCCCTTGTTTTGGAAGTAGAGGCACAAGCTACTGCTTTCTCTGAGCTGCTGGATGAATGGCTAGAATTTTCAAAGATCATGTTAAAGATTCCACCAGACTGCATTTCCGCTACCACGCGTTCTGCACGGTTTATGCCTAGTGTCTTTGAGTCTATCTTTGGCCTTAACCAGTGGCTCTTGTGGTCATGGAACCCCAATTCTTCATCGCTTGAACATGAATCTAGGTGTGCGTTGTTATGACTGCCTTCGGCAACGACCAAGTGTAGGACGCCTGTGCAGCGACCGATCAGCTTAACAACATCCTCGTGAGATGCTTTGGACACATTGATGTCGTTCACACTCAGGATCTGATCTCCAGAGCGAAGGCCCACATAGTCAGCCGGACTACCCTTCAGGACACAATTTAGCAAACATGGAGACTGACCAGAGAGTGTGAAGCCATAGCCTGTTCTTCCCCTTGCAACCTCCACCCCTCTTATGCGTGCAGACGACTGGGCATTCACACGCCTCCTCCCTTGCTCTGATTGTCTGAACATTCTTCTTTTAGTCCCAGCCTCGTCTGACAAGGGCTTCACAAATGCAGAGAGATTCATGATATCATCCAGATATCAGAACTCCAGAGCCCCTGTCTAAGGCACTAACGTGGAGCATGCTTACCTTTACAAAGGAGAGAGGGGAAAGTTAATTAATTCACAAATTAATCATCATATTAAGAGAAATTTATATAAAAAATGCATTTGAAGTTGATTAAAATATTAAGACTAAGAGATTCATTAAAACGTTGAGAATTGCATAATACATTTTTGTAATTCTTAGTCATGATTGTAGTGTTAGTCTAGAATAGGCTTTCATGCAGATGTACATTTTCTAACAAGTCAATGACAAGACTATTTTGTCCAGATCTATTAAAAAATACATTAAAAAAAAAGTAATTTACACCAAGAGTGGGGTGAATTCAGGTTGGGCAATTTTTGCCATTGATATTACTAAAAAAAAGTGTCCCGATCAACCTGAATTCCCCGCTATATGATTTCACATCTTCCAAGATCAAGAAGTTTTCAATTGTTTAATTAAAATATTTTTATTTTTATGTTTAGTGCGCTTCAAGTCTAGGAGGTAGTGTGTAACCTAACTATACAAATAAATATATGAAACCAACAAAACTGCAAAGATTTAATGGAACGTGTTTTCATCATTTCCTTTGCATCCTCATTATGCATTGGCCTACATAACTGAATTTAATATAGCTGCTATATGTAAAATCTAACAATATAGAACTAACAATATTCTAAATGTGAAATAATATATATATATATATATATATATATATATATATATATATATATATAATAGTTCACATTTTATAATAATCAACATGCACCAGGAACAACACGCTTAGAAACTGATAGGATACAGGATATGATACACAAACTCACAAATGTATATTTTTCGCAAGACTTTCCCAAGTAGACTCCACTGCTAACGGTCACGCCTTCTTTTCCCCATTGTTGGAATCTGGTTGGAATGCTCACGCGTCAACGTATGTATCCATGACAATCAGGATCTGTATCTAAATATTTCTCATCGCTCATTGGTTTCCACGGCTGTCAATCATCTCCATAACGACCCAGACCCTGTTCGACAGAGAGACTCACTCTCCCTAACTGACCACAAAAGTTATGCTACAGGTGTCCAAAACAACACGAGCGAAAAACGACAAAAAGTGAATAACCGTACACATCTTAATGCTTATTTAGTTCCAGATTAATAACGGTAGAGAGAGGCGAGCAGCCTCGGTATTGGTTTTCGCGAGGAACAGCTGGGCAGTGAGTAAAATGGTATTGAATTATCGGCATCAGTAGCCAGATACTGACAAGAGTAACGTTAACATCTATTGAGGCACAACTTGTAAAAATATAAAAACCGACAACCTCATATAGATACGCATACAGTTAAATAATAGTATTATTTACCTAAAAAGTTCTGGAAGTTTTAATATCCGCAGAAAAGCTCAAGAATTTCCAATGGCTACATTGCTAACATTAGCCGCCACTTCCCAAAAACTTTCCTGTGAGGAATACATAAATTCCTGCAATTACCGTACAGGCAATAATAATGCGTTATAACTCATAGTTATATAATCAGTAATTTAATGTTCTTACTTGTGACGGATGTGTCCCAACCTGATGTGAAGTTTAATGACATGGTAACCTTAGTGCTGAATAAGGAGTAAACAAAAGGAGAGGGCAGCTGGTGTGTGGACAGCAGAAGCAAGAGGAGGAGGAGGAGGAATCTACATCTCGAGTTTTTTTTTTTTTTTTTTTTCTTCTTCTTTAAGGACAACGCCGGTATAGGGCTTTTCCTTTACATGACAATGAATTTAGATGTATAATTAAGTTTATCATTAAGTTACATGCTGTGTTAAAAAAAAAGATATTTGAATGCCACAAAGTAAAAACAACTTCCCAAGTTCAAACTAGAACAACAATTTAGTTTTTAATTCTTAAAGGTTTTTTTTTTTTTTTTTTTTTTTTTGTCTATAGAAAGTGAATACTGAGTTTTTTTGGAAGCCCTTTCCACAAAAAAACATGAAAAGAACAATCTCTCTCTTGATAATTAATTACTAGTAGTTACTCAACAGTAGTTTTATTAGCGGATTAACATGAATACTGTTGCTGTTGACACAACATAAACTTAAATTATGTTAAATTGAACTTTTTTTAAATTGAAGATTACATTTATGTATATTTATATAGGCATTTATATAGCGCTTTCATAACTACTGTACACATACACCCAAATTGCCTTACAATCATATCATCAAATATCACACAGGCTTGGGATTCCCCCATTCGTCATGCTTAAAGTTAATAACCTGCACTTTTCAGAGGATTATCGGTGTAAACTTCTAAAATCCATTATCGAGCTCATCACCTTGGAGTACAAAATGTGCAAAGCCTTGCTCTTGGAGTAAACCTATAAAAAGGTTTTGTTTTGGGTTTTTTTTTTTTTTTTTTTTTTAATAAAATGAAATTAACTAAAATGTACTATAATGAAAAGAAAAAAAAGTAGAATCACAATATTTCAAGGCTCTTCAACTACTTTCATTTACAGACCAGATCAAATACTTCACATCCTGATAGCAATCAAAGAAGTGTCTAAATATTTAAAACATTTACTTAGTCTGTGGAAGTCTCAGGCCAAAAACATTTTTGTCCAATCATTGCAATCAGCCCGAATGCAATCATAGGATGTTGTACCTGCCGGTCAACTTATTTATTTGCATACCTCTGCACACTTGCTCACGCAGACATCACACGTCATGCGCGTTCCATGGGGATATGCAGAGCTGTAGACAGACAGTCATAGAGCAGCGCAAACATACAGCAACCACCTTACAGTTCCTCCTGAAACACAACAACGAGTTTAGGCTGCGTTCAAGCCATGCATTAAAGGAGTAGTTCACTTTTAAAAAACTTTTGCTGATAATTTACTCACCCCCATGTCATCCAATTAAGAATTTGATGAAAACATTCCAGGATTTTTCTCCATATAGTGCACTTTACTGGTAACCAAACGGTTCAAGGTCCAAATGAGAGTTTCAGTGCAGCTCCAAAGGGCTTTAAACGATACCAGACGATGAATAAGGGTCTTATCTAGCGAAACGATCGGCCATTTAAAAAATAAATAACAAAGTTTAAGTTTTATAAGCACAAATGGTCACCTTGCTTTGTTCTGTGATGAGCGTTCGTGACTTGACTGTTCAAATTCGTTCATCAAAATGAAGGAATCTTTTTTCGAGTCATGACTCGAAGGTATTATGGGACATACTGCTGCTATCCACTCAACTCCAGCTAAGTGTTAACTTTATGAATATCTCAAATAAAACATAAAAAGCTTAAGTAAATTCTGAACTGAGATCTGACTTGGATCACTAAAGGGGGGGAATTAGAAAAAAAGAAAGGTTAAAAAAAAACAGAATGTGCTAGAAATTGACAATATATTGCAAAAGCAGAAAATAGCTCAAAAAAACTAAGCCATTAAAACCAATCAGGATTATTAACCTCTTTCTCAAGTGAAGCTTCCTAAGCACACACAAAAGAGAATAAAAGGTATTTACTTTCTGATATTAATGAAATTGTCAGTGGCGCACTATTAACATTATGATTCTGCAGTATTGTCACATTGGTGGTCTTTGTAAAACGTTAATTTACGTTAATTTAATGCTGTCTGTGACCCATAACTCTCAACATAAATGCCCAACAAGACCGAAATTGAAAGATTTTCAAAGCTACTATCAAAAAACATTTTTTTTAATGGAAATCCATCATTTTGATTGGTTCTACAATCTATAAAATTGCAAGAAATTAATGTCATCATGGGGCATTGTTGGTGTAAAATAAATGTGCCAATACATTTTAGAGAAGTAAAGGCTTTTCACAGAAGAGTGAAAATATCAAGTATAAATTTCTATTTACATATTCGGCTTCACTAAGTCAAAGCAAACATCTTATTGAAACAGAATGAACCGACATCTAATGGTAGCACACATGGCGTAAGTTTTTTTGCGAGTCGACGAACAACCAAAAGTAACCCCTTTTTGTTGTGACATATTGAGTCAATATTGAAAGCAAATTAAAGACATTTTAAGCCAGTCAACTAGGCTTATATTTACAGTGAAGACTGTTATTGTGCATATTCGGTTACAAAGACTTTCACTTGAAACCATCTCATGTCCACCGATGGGTGTTGTCATGCACCACAGTTTATTCGTTTAATCACAAATATTATTTCTATTACACAAATTGTACATTAAATGTAAACACTCTATAGATTAAAATACATACTTCCAGTCATTACGCTAGATCAATAATCATATCTTTCGTCCTGAGCTTTTAAAAGAAAAATCGAACAAATAACTGCAGATGTGTTGCAAGGGACACAGTATGTAGATTTGAGCTGTAATTTTCATATGCAGAAACCCTCATCTAAAAACCTCTACTATTTCAAGCCTTGTCCGTACAAAAGGACCTGTGATTCACATTTGTGATCTGTTTTTTTTTCTCCATCTTAAAAACAACAAATATAGACAACTAAATTTTTAGAAGAAAAATAAACTTTGTTTCAGGCAATTCACCCCTCTTACTCATTAAGTCAAACACATTTTACATTTAAATACACAAAAAATCTTATCATACCAATAGTCTTATGCAACGTCTTCCACATTAGAGGGGATATACAAATTCGATTTACAATTCATTTTCGCTTCAAGTGCCAGCAAACAGAGCAAAGCAATGCATTGCCCATGCAAAAGGAATGATTTTAAACTGAGGAAGTTGTGGGTGTTTGAAAGAGTGTGTCTTTCATTTCTGAGGGAGCAGGAGAGTATGGACAGCTGGAGAAGAGTGTAGTGACGGGCATCGTAGAAAATACCCGGATGTACTGATTTTGGGAGGTCTGCGGACTAAAAGATCTAATCTTGGATCGGTTGAAATCTGGAAGTGCGGGAGATATTTTAACAATGTCTGATAGAAATGTTCTTCAGTCAGTTTGTTCATAGCTGAAAATTCTCTTCAAATATTACGTTTCTAATGATGGACACGCGTCGTCAGTTTTGACTGCATTACCAAAAAACTTGTGATCAGCCTCACAGTTTTGCCACAGCATTCTCTGAAACCAGATAAAGAGCGTTTATGCATACAACATATGGAGAAGACAAGCCTGCATCCATATAGACTTTTGAGATGTTAAGTGACACCTTGACACCAGGCAAATATAGTGATGGTACTACTATTCTTTTTTTAATTACAGATTACTGATGTTCTGGTTCATTGTGGCCACATTCTTTAGTGGATGTGCAGTCTTGCTTGGATTGGTTCCATTACTGTCTCTAATAACAAGGAACTATTTGTATGAATGTCCACTGGTTATAACGGACAGTATCATAGCAATCAATCCAATCCCATACGTTGTTGCAAGTGTGATGTCTTCTGCTCTGATATTATATTACCATTTTTTATGCCTAATTTGCATTGAAGATACATTATTGTTATTCATATACATGTATTGTTATACATTATTGTTCTGTTTCATAATATGGTCAGTATTATAGTGTCGTGTCTTGGTGAATGCTCTGCAAACAGCACAGTAGTTGGTAATACGGACTGCCAGGTGAAGCCACCATCTCAAAGACAGACTGGAAGGCCCTGCGATCCAACTCCTCATCAATCTGGTGTCGGTAGAAATCCATTGCAACCAGACAAAAGAGGCTGATGTCCACTGTGTCAGACTTCCCCATGCGACTGATGACATGAGGGAGGCTAAAGGGGAAGAGAGAAGTTAAGGAAAACAAGGATTTTTGATGGAAAACAGGAAGTTTGATGTTACTAGTACAAGGGGTGAGTCAATATGCATTTAAGGATACAGGGCAGAGATCCACTGGCTGGTCGAGGCACTGACAAAGAAACAGGACAGGCTCCACATTGCCATGGCGACAGGTGTTCTCTGTGTAAAGTTCGACAGCGAGAGTAGCACCCAATCACGGACCATGGAGGACTGCCCAGTTGCATGAAGTGTTTGAAATACCTGTTGGAAGAAACACATGCATTCAAGTGGAAATGAAGCAGTCAGTCAAGTTTACATTATTTAGTAAACTGATTTCCACTTGTAGTTCACTTTAAAAAAAAACTTTTGCTGATAATTTACTCACCCCATGTCATCCAAGATGTCCATGTCTTTCTTTCTTCAGTCGAAAAGAAATTAAGGTTTTGATGAAAACATTCCAGGATTTTTCTCCATATA